AAAAAAAAAAAGATCTTGACAATTAAACATGTAACTAATTGATGATTGTATAATAATCACGCTATGCTAATATTGCCATAGGAAACTTTAGTTATTTCAATTAGCATAGTAAAGATAATTATCAGAAATTTATAAACAAATAAAAATGTATTCGATATTTTTTCAAAACTTTGTCTAGTCGAAATTGTACTATTGGCTAGATGATTTTCAAATATTCAGAATAAAATATTATATAAATGATCTTAGAAGTAAATGTTAGTTATATAAAATTACACAAAATATAGTAGTTTTTTTGGTACAAAAATATCCACCACATCTTTTACTAGAAATATCAATCGAAGTTTCGTTAGATCCGCGAATTCTTAAATAAATTTAATTATAACACAACATAACTATTGGTCAACAAATTCCGCTTTTTTGAAACATATTTTTTTGCGATTTTTGTTTTTTGTTAACCTGTATAAAGTAAAAACTAGTGGCGTAAACAACACTCCCGCGGCTTTTTTAACTTGAACTTTTTGTTGTTCCGTAAGTTTTTCGATCTGCAATTTTTCGAGTTTTCAAGTTTCAATTTTTCAATATTTCGTTTCAGTATTTTATTTTCTTTATTTCTTTCAATTATGTATTCGATTTTTCAATGTTCCGATTTTATAATTTTTTGTTTTTCCAAATTTTAAGTTTTTCATTTTTAGTTTCTCCAGTTTTTGATTTGCGATTTTCAATTTTTTATTTTTCTTGTTACTTCTTTAATCTCTGATTTCTTCAAATTTTTTATATTCAATTTTTTCGATTTTTCAATGTTCCGATTTTAAAATTTTTTGATTTTCCAACTTTTGGATGCTTCAATTTTTCGTTTCACTATTTTATTTTTTTTTCATTTTCATTTTTAGTTTCTTCAGTTTTGGATTTGCGATTTTTCTTCAATTTTTCGATTCTTTAATCTTTCATTCTTTAAATTTTTGATATGCAGTTTTTTCAATTCTTCAATGTTCGGATTGTATAATTTTTTCTTTTTCCAATTTTTGAATGTTTAAATTTTTGAATTTTTCTTTTTCGTTTTCTCAATAATTTTAGACTTTTCAGTTTCTCGATTTTTCAATTTTTCGTTTCTTCAATTTTTGATTTGCAGTTTATTTATTTTTCATTTTAAATATGTAATAGTAATAATTTAAGACTTCGACTTTTTTTTATTTTTCAATTACTGGATTGTAAAACTTTTGCATTTATTTATTCGATTTTTCAATTTTCGATTTTCCAATCTTACGGTGTTTCACTTTACAATTTTGACGTTTCTATAATTTTTCGATTTCACAATTTTTGTATTTTTCAATATTTCGATTCGATTCGTTTTTTCTTCTTTCTAATTTTTCATTTCTTTAGTTCTTCGATTTGCAATTTTTCGATTTTCCACTTCTTCGAATTTCCTGTTTTTATTTTTTTTTTTTAGTTTTTCTGTTTTAAGTTTTAAGTAAAAATTGAATAAGTTAAAACAAATGACAGTGGAAAAATTACGAAAAAACTGAACTTTTTAAAATGAGAAAAAAATCTCTTATTAACAAAACAGTTTTTCAATTTACCAACTTTTGAATTCTGAATCTTTCAATTTTTAATTTCTTCGTTTTCGATTTACAATTTTTTAATTTTTTATTTTTCTTGTTACTTCTTTAATCTTTCATTTCTTTTTCGATTTTCCAATTTTTGATGTTTTAATTTTTCAATTTTTCGTTTCAGTGTTTTATTTTCTTTATTTTTTCAATTTTTAGTTTCTTCAGTTCTTCGATTTGCAATTTTTCGATTTTCTACTTCTTTGAATTTCCATTTGTTTTTTTTTTTAGTTTTTCGATTGTAAGTTTTTTCTATTTTTCAGTTTTTCACTTGGCGAATAAAGGAAAAGGGAAAAACTTGAAAAATTGGAAGAAACGAAAATGGAACGGAAAATCGGATCCAAAAATTGCTAAACTGAGAAATGTTAAAATAGAAAAATCACCACTTTTGTCGTATTCTAGGGATCATGAAACCTCGAGAAAACATGAAACTGGCAAGTCGCTCGATTTTTCGATTTTTTAATGTTCCGATTTTATAATTTTTTCTTTTTCTAATTTCAATTTTTCGATTTTCCAATTTTTGATGTTTCAATTTTTAATTTTTCAATTTTTCGTTTCAGTGTTTTATTTTCTTTATTTTTTCAATTTTTAGTTTCTTCAATTTTCAATTTTTAATTTTTCTATTTTTCGCTTCACTATTTTATTTTCTTTATTTTTTCTATTATACATATATGCATTTCATTTTTAAATGTTTCGATTTTATAACTTTTTGTGTTTCCAATTTAAATTTTTTGTTTCAATTTTTCCATTCGAGTTTCTCGGGTTTTCAATTGTTCGTTTTAGTATTTAATTTCTTTACTTTTTCAAATTTCCGATTGTTTAATTTTTTGTTTCAATTTTTCAATTTTCCAACTTTTGGATGTTGAAATTTTTGATTTGCAATTTTTCGGTTTTCATATTTTCGATTTTTCAATTTTTGATTTGCAGTTTATCAAGTTTTCCTTTTAAATATGTAATAATAATAATAATTTTTAAAATTCTTTACTTTTTCTATTTTACGACTTTTATAAATTTCAATTAGTGGATTTCAGAACTTTTTCATTTATTGATTCGATTTTTCAATTTTTCCGACTATAATTTTTCAATTTTTCGATATTTAATTTTTCAATTTTTCGATTCAATTCGTTCTTTCTTTCCAATTTTTCGTTTCTTCATTTCTTCGACGGTCCATTTTTTTGTTTTTTCAGTTTTTTAACTTCGCCCATAAAAGAAATGAAATAATTGTAAAACTGAAAGATCAAAAATGAAAAAACAAACAATAAAGTATATGAAAACTTTGAAAAATTGTATACACGAAAAATTATAAAATCGAAAAATAAAGAAAATGAAAAAAGGAAAAACTGTGATACAAAATCGACAAAATGGAATTTAAAAAATCGAGAAAACGAGAAATGAAAATCTAGAACTTGAAAAAATGAAAAATTGAAAAATCGAAAAATCATAAACTGCGAAACCGGAAAATCGAGAAATAAAAAGGTGTAAAACCAAAAAATTGAAAATCTGCAAATCAAAAAATTGAAGAAACGAAAAATCGAATTTGGAAGACGAAAAATTGAAAAATGACAGAAAACGAAAAAACGACAAATAGTGATATCGAAAATTATGGTATCAAAAAAATCGAAGGTAAATAATTACAGATTTTTCAGAAAATTATGAGATTTGATTTTGCGAATTTAATTTAGTGATCGTAAGAGTGTTATGCGTTTATTTCAAGTGAGTTTTTCCATTACAAAATTTTGTGATAACGTCACCAACATTTTTGCAAAGTCACGTGTTATCAATTTGGATAGATCCAGTATGATACTAATAATAACAGTACTGTATTCCTAAATTTTCAGGAAGCCTATAATTGCATTAATATATCACAAGTGCAGGGTCATATTTTGCAGAGAGGATTTATTCGGCAAAATTTTGAGATGACGTCATCAGTTTTTTTGGGCGGTGATAAGGGAATGAATTTTGTCGGGTAGCTTCGGAGATTATCTAATAAAAATCGACACAGACAGACGAAAACGAGACCACTTTCGTCGTATTCATGAAACGTCGAGAAAACATGAAAGTGAAAAGTCGTCCGATGGACTCGATTGCTGTCTTTCTTAGCTTAGGTATAAAATTGAACAAATAAAAATAAATGAGAGTGGAATAATTACGAGAAAACTGAACTTTTTAAAATGACAAAAAAAATTGTTAAATCTCTCCCTTCTGATCCCCCGTCGATAAATAACCATAGTTTAAGGTCAAAATAATTTGATTACAAATACCATTAGATAAATTTGATTTGTGATAATTCGCACTGCATTGTTTTTACTCTGGAGAACGTTTTATTACAATGGAAACACTACAGAATTTTCTGTTTTTCAATTTTACGATGTACCTTATCGCAGCCTTGCTATATAAACCAACCGAAATTGCATGTTTGGATAACTGAATCTGAATATACATCACAGTGATAAAGTAACGCACCAACTGCCATAAAATATTTATACCTAATCGCATGATACAAATTGGAAGCTTCCTTTTTCGCTGCTTAAAATATCCACATTTGTTCCTGCGATGACGATACGCAGTGATTAATTCATTTTGATTTATCGTTTTGTTTGCCTGGTTCCGAATTTGCATTTTAACGTTTATAAAAATACATTGGTTACGACTTGATTGCAAAGTGGCTGTAAGTTACAATTTTTCATAACTTTCCAAAAATAAGTAAATAACTTACTAAAAATAACTAAAATATTCGATCACATTCAGCATTTTTATGATGCTATTTTCACACTCAAACCAGATTTTATGGATATTTTTGTTACAAAATAAAAAAGTTACGTAGGTGTGTTTAAAATTTAGTTTAAAGTGAGTGGTACTTCAAAACTGTTTTGTTGTTCAAAAACTAGCAAAATTTTGTAAAATTCGTTAAATTCAGTTATAGCTCGCTTTTCAGATAGAGAAGTCCTTGTTTACTGCAAACTGCTCATTTTACAACCAATGTGTGATCTGAAAGTTTGTATCGTGTGACACACTTGGGGTAAATGTTCACATGTAACAAATGTCCACACATCCACTAAATATAATTATCAACAGCGATTTTAAAAGCGCAACCCTAATTCCATACTTCGTTTAAGCACATAATAAGTGTTTTCGAACTTTCGCGCACGCACACAAAAAAATTATGATAAATAATGAAAGTTCTTTAATAAAATTGTAAGTTTCCCGTTCTGTACATTCGTGCATCGAGTACGAATTTTTATGAGATCGCGCTTCAGTCAAGCCGAACTCCCCCAGCGGTAAATAACCGCTTTTCCCAGAGGCCGTAAACCGTAAATTGTGGCATCGTTAACCTCCCCCTGCCCTCCACTACAATTCCCCACTAAATTAAGCAAGATAAACGTAAAATGTACTTACTGGATAAGTCTCTATAGGTTTGGTTTCCATGTGCAGATCCCAAACTTTAACCGATAAATAGTCTCTCGAAATCATGTATCTGCCGTTATTCGACAACTTAACATCGGAAATACTCGATATAATTTCGGAAAAGAAACTCCTATTCGTCGGATCTTCGGGTTCCTCGAACAGTTTAGCATGTCTGTCGCAGAGGGCCGCCGCCCTCATGTCACATAACCTAATTGTACCCTTACTACTACTGTAAACGAACAGGTTGCACTCGACCGGATGGAACTCCGCCGCCGTTATGACCTCCGTCAGCTCCTCCATATTCGTTGGCTTGATGTCCACTATGTTGAAACTTTGATCGGTGATCTCGAGGTGCCACAGGTTGATCCGGAGGTCGTCCGCCGAAAGGTACGTCTCCTGGTCGGAATTGACCGAGATCGAGTTGATGTGGTACGTGTGCGCGTTGGCGAAGATCCTCCTCGGCGACGCCTCCACCATCAGCTCCATGGGTTTGATCGTGGGCACCCTCAGCGAGCTCACGTTCACAGGGTCGATCAGCGAGCCGTTCTCCGCGCGCGTGTTGTACCCCTCGACCTTTTTGTCACGCTCCGAGACCTTCCATAGCTTTATGGTCTTGTCGTTGGTTGATAGGAGGAAGTGTGCGGGGTTCCGCCGCTTCAGCCACCTGCAAGGGAGCTCGGGTTGCGTTAATGTACGAAAACATTTCAAAAATAATATAAAACAAAACAGTTCAGGGCGAAAATAGCACAAACAAGCCAAAAATTCGTCGACAATTGTATTATCTTGGCACTAAAACGGTTATTTGTAGCGTTCCAAATTCCGTATACTGCATTTATTTTAATGTAATTAATACGGGAAAAATAAAATAATGCAAAGCTAAAAATTGACGTTCAGTTCAACTGTTCAAAATTAAAATATCTAGAAATTCTGCGATAAAGACTGATTTATGACTTTTTATTGCACCTGATATAGGGCCAAATCTGATCAAAATCGCGCTAAGCTGATTACAAGTTATACAATAAAAATAATGATTATTAATATAGGTTTTTTTTAAAACTTGTGAAAATGATGCGAAAAATATGAAAAAGAAAACATCATTGTTGTATCGCGTATTCATCAGTCTGATGAAAATAACGTCTAACTCTAAAATTAAATTAATCAAATTTAGTCTGAAACAGGTTGTTTGAAACGTAATTTAACTTTCCATAAGCATGGCAGGTAAAGCGGAAACTTTGTGATTTCCGAAAGTTAATGTGGAACAACGGTTATTCGGTCTAGTACCTTTCTGTGCATCTAATATCTATGTATTTATGTGGAAGTACAAACACTAATATTTAACTTTAAAAGTATCGACATTACATTGGAAGCATGTTTTTATCTTGCTTTAGTTCAACTTCAATCAAGTATAAGAAGTGGAATCCCATTTGCTGATATTTTTACTGGATTTATAAGATTTGCTGTTTCGATGTTGAGTAAAATATACCACTTCATATATTATTTTCTGCCACAGTATATAAGCAATTCTAAAAAATAAAAGTGGTTAAAAAAATTCTTGTATAGAAACAGGATTTTTCTCCTTGTTTCAAACAACAGTTACTTCGCAAAATTTTAAGATGACGATATAAAATTTTTGGTGGGGATTAACAAATGTTGGTGGGTATTTTACCATATTCAAGATATCTTAAAAACAAATTTAAAATTTCACAAATATCTGTTCAGTAATTTTCGAGTTTACTTGTCCGATAAAGTCGCCTCCATACGACATACACTTTACTCACTAGTTGCATAAATAACTATTAACAATGACTGCAAAATTGTGCCCATTAAAAAAAGGACTATGGACATGTTTAGGAGTGTATAACATATCCGAAAAATCCAGCGCAACTGTCATATTAATCACATTTCCATCAAAATGTGATTAATGGAAGTCTTTAATCATCTTTATCATTAAAGTGCTTTATTTAAAAGTATGAACGGGGAAAAATCTAAAATCTTTTAAGAACTGCCTAGACAAGACTAAAGTGAGGTTATTCATATCAAAGATTTTACGATAAGTATTAAAATAAAGTAATGAACCAATTAATTTCCATTGTCTGTTAAAATCACCTCCATGAGGTGCCAGATACAGATACGTAAATAGTATAGTCCGTTTATCGAACAGATAGAATGAAAGTAATGGCGTAAATAACACTCTTGCAGATTTTGACTTGAATTTTTTAATTGTTCTATTTTTCTTTTTTTTTGTTCCTTCACTTTTTTGATCTGCGATTTTTCGAATTTTCAGTTTAAATTTTTCAGACTTTCAATTTTCTAACTTTTAAATTTTTCAAAATTTTTAGATTTTGAAAATTATCGAGTTTTCAATTTTAATTTTTACAATTTCTCGGTTCTTCAGTTATCGATTTGCGATTTTTCAATTTTTCATTTTTCTTGTTACTTCAATTTTTAGATTTTGTAATTTTTCGAATTAAAATTTTTCCAGTTTTCAAATTTTTTTTTTTTAATGTTCCAATCTTTTAATATTTTGTTTTTTCCAATTTCAATTTGTTTCTTTCAATTTTACATTTCTTTTTCCAGTTTTCATTTCTAAATTTTTCAGTTTTTCCAACTTTTGCAATTTTACGAGTTTCCAGTTTTTCATTTTTCTCAATTTTCCGATTTCTAATTTTTCGGTTTTTCAATTTTGCACTTCTTCAATTTTTGATTTGCAATTTATCTAGGTTTCATTTTAAAAATGATTTTTTTTTAAATATACCACTTTTTCAAATTTACGATTTTGAAAATTTTCCATTTTTCAATTATATATTGGATTTTAAAATTTTTACATTTAACCTTACAGTTTTTCGAATTTACAATTTTGACTATTCTATAATTTTTGGATTTTACAATTTGTGTTTTTCAATTTTTCCATTCGTTTTTTCTTCTTTCCAATTGTTCGATTTTCCACTTGTTTGCTTTTTCCTTTTTTTCAATTTTCTTTTCGATTTTTCCAAAAAAAAAAAAAGAAAGATCAAAAATGAAAAAAGGAAAAAATATAAAACGCAAACTTCGAAAAAACTAACAACTTGAAAATTTAAAGAATCCAAGGTTAAATTATTGGTTTTCTTTAAAAGTGTATTAAATTTGGTGTATGCGAACTGCACCGCTAACGGAAAAGTATAACCAAACTGCGCCGACGAAAATTCAGTGGGTTTTGTAATATTACACCGAGACGTTACTCAATCATTATAATATTTGACAATGGCTGCAAAAATTGTGCCCGTTAAAACTATATGTCATACCATATATTTCCATCAAAATGTGAGTAATGAAAGTCTTAATCATCTTTACCATTAAAGTACTTTAATTAAAAGTATGCACGGGGAAAAATCTAAAATCTTTTAAGAACTGCCTAAACTAAGACTAAAGTGAAGTTATCCAATCGAACATTTTACAATAAATATAAAAATAAAGTAATTAACCAATTATTAATTTCCATTGTCTTTTAAAAAAATTAACTTCCATGAGGTACCAGATACAGATATGTGAATAGTATAGCCCGTTTATCGAACAGATGGAATGATCACGTAAAGTAAAAAGTAGTGGCGTAAATAATACTCCCGCAAATTTTTGACTTGAATTTTTCAACTGTTCAATTTTTCTTTTTTTGATCTGCGATTTTTAGAGTTTTCAGTATAAAGTTTTCAGTTTTTAATTTTGCTAACTTTTGAATTTTTCGTTCTTTCAATCTTACAGTTTTTCGACTTCACAATTTTCACGATTCTGTAATTTTTGGATTTTACAATTTTTGTGTTTTTCAATTTTTCGATTCGTTTTTTCTTCTTTCCAATTTTTTTATTTTGCGATTTTCTTGTGATTACTTACTTAGGAATGACCACTATGGTCAATATTCGAGTTTTTGGGTTTACATTGCTGTGAAATTACTTGCAATTTTGTTATGATTAGTTTTGACATTTAACCCTAAATTTAAAGGTTTCTAACCTACCAAGAGGTGACAACTGTGCTTAAAAGCACATAAAGTATGTATATCTTGATAACGACAACAAAATCATTACTTTTATTTGATTCTATAATATTCTAAGGCTAGAAATAAGCAAGTCAATCCTTCTTAGTTTGTTTTATTTTTTTGTTAAATAAACAATTACTGGGAATCAATCAACAGTGCTCGACAGTATTGAAACGATATGAACCAAAACACAAATTATTGAATTTCTTGAATTTCTAACCTCACAAAATAACAGCCGCTGTGCGGAAACAACGCTAAATTTAAAATTAAGAATAAAAACGATAAATTTAAAATTAAGAATAAGAACGATGCGAATTCAATTTTTACAAGAAATGATTTCTTGAGAATGTCCATATGACTTTATTTAGGAGCGTTTTCTTGGGACTAATCACATATGTAAAGAGTTACATTTCACGTTAAGGATATGTCTATAATGTTAAAATACAAAATTTTATGATCAACCTTTTTGCAAGGACACGTCAATTTGGATAGGTGCAATGTAATACTAATAATAACAGTATTGTGTTCTCAATTTTCGGGAAAATGGAGTGAGCCGTCCCTGATTTAATCAATAAAATAAATTTACTCATTCATTTTTTTTGAACCACCTGTTCAAGCAAATCTAAATAATATGAATGCAATGATAAATCACAAGACTCATCATATTTTGCAGATTTTAGATAGGATGCATTCGGCAAAATTTTGAGAGGACGTCATCCATTTTTTGGAGGGGATAAATAAACATACATTTTGATTATACATAAAAACATCTGTCAAATTTCAAAGCATTCGATTTGGACATTTCTGATCCTATCAATCAATTAATTTTTTTGAGTCATTCTATACCGGCTGTCTGGAAATTGGCGGATAACTCTTCAGTACGTTATATACGGGGGTTTCGGAAGTCCCAAAAAAATAATAAAAAAATTCTTTATAAAGTAGATTACGAAAAAAACGTGGTTTTATAAAAGGAAAATTGGCAACACTGTACACACCTAATGCGTGAATATCTCCGGCTTACTTTCTGGTTTCTTAGTAACGATGGTGACTGAAGTCCACCTTCGCTGTATATCAGGCAGACATTGTTGTCAAACGGAATTTTATTGAATTATTACAAAAACAACACAGCCATACCTTTGTGCATTCCAACTGAAATGGTAATTAAACATGGTTATGGGCGAGAAAAATATTAACTAAAAGTTTTACTACGAGTTATAAAAAACAATTTTAAAATCATTATAACTCCACCAAAATGTGAGAAGGATTTTTTTTACTATTTTTCCCAGACTCACCACTTGATTGTTAAGAGCGTAGCGGAGAGTTAATCCGCCATTTTCCAAACACCCGGTATAACAAAATCCAAAAAATATGAATGGAATGATTATAAGTATGGACTCATCAATTTTACATATTTTAGATAGAAGTTATTTGGCAAAATTCTGAGACGACGTCATTTGATTTGATAATCTTAAAACGCTTGCAAGGTTTCAGAGTATTCGGTTTTATAATTTCAAAGTTACTTTGTAAAATGTTATAAAATTTTGATTTTTTTTTGCAAAAATCGGATGCTCAGGTTAAAAACTTAACACGGATTCATAAACTACAAGTGGAGAAGTAGGTGTGTTATTTTATAAAATTTAAAAAACATTTACTACTGCAAAAGTTGGAGGTGACGTCCTATGAGTGTTGGGGATGATCAAACCAAATTTTGATTAGGTACCTCAATCGAAATATTATTATTATATGGTAACAAAAAATACAATTTTATTCTGATTTGTATCAAAGGTTTATTACAATCTCAAAAAAATTAACCATCAATTTAATAACACTATGCAACACTAAAAAATTCACAGAAAGTTCAGATAGTGTTTGAGGTTGGGTATACTCCATATACTAAAGAAAAAAATGTTTTATACTCATATCACATCACAAAACATAGATAACGGGTGTTTTGTTTTTCTTACTTTTTGAGACACTTGATTGCATTTAATCGTAAAAATATCGCTTTTATGTATCCACCCATGCTTGCAGACTTCTGTTGGTGTCTTCAGAGGGATACTGCGAGATCTGGCTACAATAGGAATGCCAATCGTTCGAAAAAAAAGACCTTTTCTAATGAAAAATGAAGTATTGTTTTATTCATTTTGTATGATTTCAAAAAATTCAATAAACACTTTTCATTGTGATACCTGATGTGATAGGTTGGGTACCTATACTCCATACACTAAAGAAAAAAATGTTTTATACCCATATCACATCATAAAACATATATAACGGGTGTTTTGTTTTTCTTACTTTTTGGATCACTTGATTGCAGTTAATCGTAAAAATATCGCTTTTATGTATCCACCCATGCTTGCAGACTTCTGTTGGTGTCTTCAGAGGGATACTGCGCGATCTGGCTATAATAGGAATGCCAATCGTTCGAAAAAAAAGACCTTTTTCAATGAAAAATGAAGTATTGTTTTATTAATTTTGTATGATTTCAAAACATTCAATAAACATTTTTCATTGTGATACCTGATGTGATATGTTGGGTACCTATACTCCATATACTAAAGAAAAAAATGTTTTATACTCATATCACATCACAAAACATAGCTAACGGGTGTTTTGTTTTTCTTACTTTTTGGGACACTTGATTGCATTTAATCGTAAAAATATCGCTTTTGTGTATCCACCCATGCTTGCAGACTTCTGTTGGTGTCTTCAGAGGGATACTGCGAGATCTGGCTACAATAAGAATGCCAATCGTTCGAAAAAAAAGACCTTTTTCAATGAAAAATGAAGTTTTGTTTTATTAATTTTGTATGATTTCAAAAAATTCAATAAACACTTTTCACTTTGAAACCTGATGTGATACGATTCTTTCAAGCATGATCCTCAATTGAGTTTGAGGTAAGAAATTTTAACTACATACTGTGCATTCTGTGAATTTTATTTTTTTTTAATTTGTTGCATAGTGTAATCATTAATAGGTCACGTGAAGAGCACACACTTTCGCAACTCCATCTGTTCGATAAACGAGTATATCTGAAATGTTTGTCGAAAAAGTAACGTCTAGTACACATGACAAGTCATCAATGTTAATTATGTAATGAAAACTGTCAGATGTTCAAAGAACTTTGACCACAATTAATTGCGAGAAATTTCATATTCGTACAAAAAGTTGTATTTTTATATAATACTTTCGTAACTTTGAAAATTCTTTAGAATATTATTTACAAAGAAGCTATCAACGACATGCTACCCATTGCGCTTATTACTCGGATTTTTGTACGTCATGTTCGACGTGAGTCTAACGCGCATTCGTCTAATCAAATATGGCGCACATCAGCCGCGTTCAAATAAACAACAATTTTTTAAACACAATCTAACCATAAATTTCAATCAGAATAGATAAAATTTGACCATTCTGACCATGTTTGGGCGATACGTTCTCAGCAAATAAACAGTATCCAAATAGGTGGTTTATATATTTTTTATTTCGACCATCAACGTCAAAAAACCAATTTTTGGCTAGTCGGCTTCATTTTCCCCTCGAAGTCCCACAAATGCCACTCTACTAACCGGATTTTGTTGATCTTCTCCTCGATCTCGAGGCTCTTGAGGTAGTCGAATTCGGGCTCGTGCGACTGGAACGTGGAGTACACGTTGTATTCTCCTCGTCGCGGGAACGAGCTCTTCGAGCCGGGGTCCCGCTGGAAGATGACGACGCGGCCTCCCTTGTCGCCCGTCGCGAGGAGCTCACCGTCATGGTTGAACTCCACGCATGAGATTATGTCGGCTTCGGTCACGTCATCGTCGAGGGTTCCCTTCACCTGAGCAAAGCACCACTGCACGTCTCCATTGCCTGTAAAATACGAACGCATGGCTTAGTTCAAAGCGATGATCGATAGTGACGTGGGGGAGCTTCGATGATGTGGAGCGAGTCACGTTTTAGGACGCGTGCCGGTATACTGTTAGTTTAATGGAAGTTTCCGCAAAAACGACCAAGATAAGGGGTACAATGGGGTTTTTACAAGGCGGGTTTATGTGGGACTTCCTTTTTTTACGTGGAAGTAGTTCCCGAGAGAAGCGGGCGGGCGGTGGGTTGCGATATCGAAAGCTCGGCGTCGAGTCAATAAAGGGAGGCTTGGAAGGTCTATCTAAGTTTGTTTGCAATGGGACGAATGTTCCAAAGTTTCTATTGGTTTTTATTAAACCTTTAAATTATTATCTTACTAAACCTTACTACACTGGATTTGTTTGTTCAACTTCCTGAATACAATATTATACTAACAAATAAAAATATATATGTTTGAAAATCTGGAAATTTATTATTTGTCTATGAATCCGCTTTAAGTTAAATAAGCAATATTTTATTGGTTTTAAGTAAAAAGAACGAAATACTTAGTAAACAAGATAAGATAATCCACAACAATTGTCGCTTATAAGGCTTTCAGTTGTAATAAGTTGCTGTAGTAAAACACTTCACTAAGTCACGCCTAATTTCACGTACGTTTAACTTAAGTGTCAACATTAATGTTTATTTGTTTCGGAAACAATTGATCCAGCAATCGTTTCCGTATTAACTAAACTTAACGAAGCAAACGAAAAAATAAATAACACGACAGTATAAAATCTTGAATTAAAATCTGAAATCTCTTGACAATTTTAATTCGTTGTCACAATATGTTCAGTTTTACAGAAATAATGAAAATAAAAAAAAATAGTCTAAGGTTATTTCGACAGAACTTCCCTCGCCTCTAAAGTGCAGTCCAACAACTCCTGTTTCTTTGAAAAATTATATTTTTTTTGCGGTTTTTTATTTTCTGTATAAATTTTTTCAAGACGGCAGACAGCCAGACGGAATCGTCAGACCCATTTTTTTCGTACTGTAGGGATCATGAAAAGTCCAAAAAACACAAGAGTAGGGAGTCGGCCGATGGAAATAATGTTATAAATGTCCTTGGATGTGCGACAAATTTAAACATACTCTGCTTCATAGCACACTCTTAGATACGAAATGCCAACATGGCGACTGGATGCCATTGTGGATGAAATACTTAAAAAAAAAAATAGTCGAATTGCACTTTACTTAAATTGTTTACTTGTCGAATCTGAACACGATATAATTTTATTACTTCACCGAATCAATACCAGTAAATCAGAATGATTACATTGACATACGTTTTTTCTTAGATCACAACAGATACTCAACTGTAACCACTATCTCTTCGATACCGATAATCATTTTTCGATAAACCACTCCTGTGATAAAAAAAATATCCATAAGTGACATTCAAAACCCAATAATCGTTCACAACAAAGTTTTAATAACAACGCGTGTAAATTATTGCAATCACTTTTGTAGAAGTTAACTTTGACATTCAGTTAAACTTCAGAACGAATTAAGAAAGACGGATTAGGTGTTTCTTCATGGGCCACCGAACCAAAAAAACCTGGCGCTGTTACAAAATATAACACCGTATCGTCGTCACAGTGGCAAAAATAAGCAATCGCTAAGGCGTGCTTTTGAAAATGTCATTATTTTTAGGCACACATTTTATTAATTTTCGGCGGTACTATTTCGTTTTTTTTTTTTATTTAAAAAAATCATTGCAAACTTCTATCAAATCTTTACGTACATTTAAAAAACACTGAAATTTGACAATGTAAGTCACGACTCTTTTTTCGTATTTTCACAACCTGAGAGAAAACTGAAGGAAGTATTGTAATAGATCATTTTGACGAATGTCTAATTTATTTTATACGTTTTTGGAGTTTCGTAGCTGAGGGAATAGGAAATATAGATTTCCCGTTTTCGGCTGTTCGTTCAAAATTTATTACACAATCTTCGAAACTAGCGAAAACAATTATTTTCAAACTTAATGTGTACTGTGAGATTATCGTGTAGATAATAAAACGTTAATTAAAGTTAAGCTATTCATTACTTCCAGACGATAAGCAACGTCATGTTAAAATATTGTTAATTAAATATCACTTTAAATGTGTACTTCATTTGAGAATTTGCTCTAAAAGCTAGGACCACCAAATTCTACAACTTATCTCTTAATTTTTACTTTTTAAAAACTAGTTATACGTTTACCTAAAAAATCAAGCATGAACTGATTGATTTTATTCGGTATCTCAGAAACCACCCCACTAATTTCTGAAATTTTGAGAATAGTCATTTTTTTAATTTGTGCCACCTGTCTTAAACAAACACAAACCACAGGAACAACGCATTCAATTTCTTTGAAACTGACGAAACAACAAAGGTGTTATAATAAATAAAAGACATTTCATTAGATACACGACAGTTACGACTTCCTTCAAAAGCTGATGACGTCAATGTATTCAAAATTAATTAGAGGACGAATCTCTATATTTCTGACTCACAAATTTTTGCTCTATAATACATGTTTAAAGGAAATTCTTTACATAGAACGACTCGCTTCTAAAGCACAATCAATACCGGCATTCGTTAGAGCCAACGAAGTTCGAGATTTATGAGTACAATGTCCCTGTTAAATACAGTCCACCATTTTTAGTTTTATTTTTGTCGGTTTCCTTTTTCATTGTAGGAATATTCTCTTCTGCAGATACTGAAATTTTGAATTGTCTTTTATTGTTCTTTTTCAGTTCTCTTCATGCCATTACTTCAAAATGCAATTTCCTAAATTCTTTTTATATAGTTGAGTCCACCAAATAGTGAACATTGACTTTAACTGCGTAATCCAAAGTTGGTGGCTTACAATAAACAGAAAATTAATGTTCACGATTTGGCGGACTCCACTCTACAAGCTCTATTAATTCTTCAAAATTTCTTGTAAAATATTCACATCTTTTGTTTCTGAAAGCAGACAAAGCTAGAAAAGTGCCTAAACATGAATTATTTGTGTGCATTCCAGTCCACAAAAGCGACATTTTGAATTCGAAATGAGCAGTCTTTGCTCCTCATTTCCATTTACAAACTCTGAATGAGCCGTTCTTGTCAACGTAAATGCCGGTCTTCCTGTATCCACAGATAAAGCTACAAACATTAGCGCTATTATACAACCGACTGACATTCCACTTTGGGGAAATGCCAAACAACTGCAACTAAAATTAACTTATCACTTTTGATCAGTCATAAAGAACATAAAGGCCTTGTGTTTGCCGCTGCAATAACAAGGTGAAACCAAAATATCGAAAGACAAATAATGTTGCAATTTATCACTATCAAATTATCAATTTTATCATGTGAAATTATTCAAAGCACAACGATCATTAATAACTTTTTAAAGACCTTACAAATCCATTACATAAATCGTCGATGAATTATTAAATCATCCACGGTCTTCACTTTCTTGTCCCACTTTTTAGTCAAGCGTTCACCTTTATCAACCCGAAACCTTTAAATCACGCCATTAAACAACAGCACATCGACACGAGACTTATCAAACAACAAGCTTATTACAGTTTAGATTGTACAGCAGCATTAAAACCTGGATTTGGAGTCTTTGGAAAAACTTTGACCGCACGCCAACAATATCGTGAAGGTTAATCAGTTAATTATGCAACAAAGATGAAAAAATAACTTGACTGGTTAATATATTCTAAGTAAAAATTCATACATCTCTTAGTTGCAGCAAGAAAATTACAAAGCTCTAAATTCACAAATTCTTGCGCAAATTCGCCCAATCAGTGTATACGTACCCACAAATTCGACACAAATCACACACGCCTAAACCTCTCCCTCTTACCAACCGGTCTAATTGCATGCATACGATCAGTCAGTCACGCTTTCGAACCAACCTGATTTGGAGAAGAAGGGCATCTGTACACTTTTTTACGAAAAAGTCATTACAAAACACACATTTTTGTGAAAAAAGGAAGTTAATCTCGTCATGATGTGGTCGCGGCAACACTACTCGATTTCGAGAAGTGCAAAAAAATAAGAAATCTGATAAAAAAAGATAACAATTCTGGTAACATGATAAAGTCGAATGTCGTAGGCATTATTTATTTACTTATGGATGTGGAGCAAATATTTGTGAAAATGTCACAATAAGTTGGGTCGGATGCGGTTACGTCAAAGAGTAATTTGTGTTTATCAGTTTGGACTTGCAAAGGTTAATGTTATAAAATCTCAAGGTGTGCGATATGATGATCAAGACTGGTCATGCATACAGGAGCTATTACATGAAGTGGATTGGCAATAACAGATCTGGAGTAATATCTTGATTATGTTTTAAACAATACTCATGTTTTAATTTTATTGCAGCCTCAACGACCATTACCGAAAATGATATATCAAGATCTTTATCTCAGTGTGTCGCAATTTAAAACTATTTATTTTTTTTATTTTTACAGATCATTTAGCTTCAAAAACTATACATATTCGTTTTAGAACTAAGATATAATTAGAACCTATTGTAAACAATTTGCGGCTTTTATCTTTAATAACTTGTTAAACTTAACAAGTCTCTTTCCTTTCAGTCTATTAGTGAATACACCTGTTCGATGTGTTAACCAATTAGCAACAGTTCCTTTGAGCCGTTTATTACGTAATTTCAAACACATTACAAACGATTTTTAATTTAACATATCTATTAAAAATAATTATCTCTTGAACGAACAAAGTTCACTAAAAGTTATTTTGAGATCTCAAATACCGATAGCTTTGTATGTTATTCCGTGTTTATGAAATTGCAGTATCGATTAACTCAAATGTTACGAGTCTATTCTATTATAATGATTTTTCAGATATCCGAACGCGTGCCAGCCCAGGAACGACTTCGCTTTCTTTGAAAATCTACTTGTGTATTCCAAAACAATGAGGGTGGTTTTCTTTTTCGTACCGCATACCGTGGATTTCCCTCTTTA